CGAAGAAATTTTGATGGTTATTATTTTACTTTTTTATGTAATTGTATTTCTTGTAATCGCATTGCTTATATAAGCACATCCCATGCTCTAAAATGAAATAAATTAAATTTCTAATAAAGTTCTTTGTGATTTTATTTTAGATATCTAATGGCAAGCATTCAGAAGCTTATGTTTCCAGCTCTAGACATCACTTTGGCCAATTATATATTTTGGATTGCCAACGTCGAACTACATTTACAATCTCTTGGCTTAATAAATACCATAAAAGAGAATAATACTTCGACGGTTCAAGAAAGGGAAAAATCGGTGATCTTTATTTTAAGACACCTTGATAAAAGTATCATATGTGATTATGCACACATAAAAGATCCCAAAGAGATCTGGGAATCCCTAAAAGCTCGATTTGATAATCGAAAGGCAATAAATCTCCCACTTGTTCGGGATGAATGGCAAAGTCTAAAGTTCAAAGACTTTGATAAAGTGATGAATTATAATTCCGCTATGATGGAAATTGTGGTTAAACTGAAATATTATGGTGATATTATCACTGATTCTCAGATGCTTGAGAAAACGTATACCACGTTTCATGAAAACCACATTACCCAGCAAAAACTGTATATGTCATACGGGTATACCGAATTTTCGGATTTATTTGTGGCACTCCTAATAGCGGAAAAGATTAATGAGACCGCTCATGCGGTTAACTAAAGAGCTTGTATTGAGACTGCTGAAATAGTCTCTAGTTATGCCATATATGTATAATATTATGCTTTTATTATTTTGAAAAATAATGTTGTTTTAACAACAATTTAATGTATAATTATTGTGTGTTTTCCTTTTATAAAATTTACTTTCTTTATGTTTATCTTAATCACAGAAATGGATGAAACAATCTCCAAGGAAATGGCTCAAGAAATTTGTATACCAGATAGTGGAACAACACACACTATTCTGAAGGACAAAAGATATTTCTCTAACTTAAAACCGACAAACGTTATTGTCAATACAATATCAGGTCCTGTAGACGTGATTGAAGGAACTGGTATGGCCAACTTTATGTTGCCTAATGGAACCAAGTTTTCCATAAAAAATGCCTTGTATTCTCCAAACTCTAAAAGGAATTTGTTGAGTTTCAAAGACATATACCTTCAAGGATATGATACTCAGTCTGCAACTGAGAATGAAAAGAAGTATATGTACATAACTTCGGATAAATCGGGAAAAAGGCTTATATTGGAAAAATTTCCAAAACTTCCTTCAGGATTGCATTATACTCATATAAGTGCAATCGAATCGCATCTAGTGATTAAAAGAAATCCAGAAGATTTCACATTATGGCATGATCGCCTCGGTCATCCAGGCACCTCGATGATGCGAAAAATCATAGAGAGCTCACATGGACACCCATTGAAAATCCAGGAGATATATCATGGGAATAAAAAGACATGTGCCGCATGTTCTCTTGGAAAACTGATCATAAGGCCATCGCCAACCAAAATTGATAAAGAATCACCAAAATTCCTTGAACGAATTCAAGGAGATATTTGTGGACCAATACATCCACCATGTGGACCATTCCTCTATTTCATGGTATTAATTGACGCATCCAGCAGATGGTCACATGTTTGTCTATTATCATCTCGAAATATGGCATTTGCGAGATTTCTAACTCAAATAATCAAACTGAGGGCTCAGTTTTCTGATTACCCTATTAAAAGAGTTAGACTAGACAACGCTGGTGAATTCACATCCCAAGCATTCAATGATTATTGTATGGTAACGGGAATTGAAGTTGAACATCCTGTAGCTCATGTTCATACACAAAATGGCTTGGCGGAATCATTAATTAAACGTCTGCAATTGATTGCAAGACCATTGATCATGAGATCAAAACTTCCAACCTCTGTATGGGGACATGCCATTTTGCATGCAGAAGCACTCATACGGATAAGACCAAGTGCATATCATAAATATTCCCCATTACAACTAGTATTTGGTCGTGAACCAAATATATCCCATCTAAGAATTTTTGGTTGTGCAGTGTATGTGCCTATAGCACCACCACAACGTACAAAGATGGGACCACAAAGAAGGTTGAGAATATATATTGGCTGTGATTCTCCATCAATTATAAGATACCTAGAACCGCAGACAGGTGATGTCTTTACGGCACGATTTGCCGATTGTCACTTTGATGAGAAAGTATTCCCGGTTCTAGGGGGAGAAAATAAGCAAGTAGGAAAAGAAATTAAATGGTGTGTACCATCACTGTTACACCTTGATCCTCCTACAAAACAGTCAGAAATTGAAGTTCGACGAATTGTGCATTTGCAAAGTATAGCAAATCAACTTCCCGATGCTTTTGCAGATACCAAAACGGTAACTAAATCATATATACCAGCTGTAAATGTTCCTGCTCGAATTGAAATACCACAAGAACGTGGAGGAGCAGATGATACACGTGAGTCTAAAACACGTTTGAAACGTGGTAGACCAGTTGGTGCTAAGGATAAAAATCCTAGAAAACGAAAGGAAGTTGAAAAGCATGATATTCCCAAAATAGCAGAAAGCATTTTGGAAGAAACGAATCATGAGTCTAATGACAATGATGAGCATCATGAGCCTGAAGGAAACCATGAGATTTCTATCAACTATATCCATAATGGAAAGATCTGGGATCGAAATAAAATGGATGAAGTTAATGACGTTTTCTCATACCTTTTGTCAAAGGAAATTGATGAGGAAAACGAGGATCCAGAACCAAAGTCTGTATATGAATGTCAAAAGAGACATGACTGGATAAAATGGAAAGATGCAATACAAGTCGAACTTGATTCGCTCAACAAGCGAAATGTATTCGGACCTATTGTACTCACACCTGAAGATGTGAGACCGGTTGGATACAAATGGGTTTTCGTTAGAAAACGAAATGAGAAAAATGAAATTACGAGATACAAGGCTCGTCTCGTAGCTCAAGGATTTTCTCAAAGACCCGGGATTGATTATGAGGAAACATATTCCCCCGTTATGGATGCTATAACGTTTAGATTTCTGATGAGTCTAGCAGCTGGCAAAAATCTAGAGATGCGTCTCATGGATGTCGTTACAGCATATTTATATGGATCATTAGATACAGATATCTATATGAGAGTTCCCGACGGGTTTAATATGCCAGAAGCATTGAAATCTAAACCAAAAGAGTTATGTGCAATAAAGTTGCAAAGATCATTATATGGGTTAAAGCAATCTGGGCGAATGTGGTATAATCGTCTCAGTGAACATTTAACAAAAGAAGGATACGTGAACGATCCTATATGCCCATGTGTTTTCATAAAGAAAACAAATTCCGGATTTGTGATAATCGCGGTATATGTTGATGATCTAAACATAATCGGGACTCAAGCAGAAATACAGAAAGCAACAAACTATTTAAAAGGGGAATTTGAGATGAAAGATCTCGGACAGACAAAATTTTGTCTTGGCCTACAAATTGAACATACTCAAAAGGGTATATTTGTACATCAATCCACATACACCAAAAGAGTGCTAAAACGTTTTAATATGGATAAGGCAACTCCTCTCAGTACTCCAATGGTCGTTAGATCACTTAATGTTGAGAGTGATCCATTCAGACCACCTGAGGAGAATGAAGAGATACTCGGTCCTGAAGTACCGTATCTAAGTGCAATTGGAGCCCTTATGTATCTTGCAAATTGCACTCGACCTGATATATCATTTTCAGTCAATCTTTTGGCTAGATTTAGTTCATCCCCTACACGAAGACATTGGAATGGGATTAAACATGTCTTTCGTTATCTTCAAGGGACTATTGATTTAGGGTTATTTTATCCTAAAAATATAAATGGTCAAATGATTGGTTTTGCAGATGCAGGATATTTATCAGATCCACACAAAGCTCGATCCCAAACAGGATACGTATTCACGATTGGAGGTACCGCTATATCATGGCGTTCTCAGAAGCAGACGCTTGTAGCTACTTCTTCAAATCATGCTGAAATCATCGTACTCCATGAAGCGAGTAGAGAATGCGTGTGGCTACGATCAATAAGTCGACACATTCAAACAAGTAGTGGAATTCGTCTAAATACGGAACCAACTATCTTATATGAAGACAATGCTGCATGTGTTGCTCAGACAAAAGAAGGATATATCAAAAGCGATAGAACCAAACATATCCCTCCGAAGTTCTTTTCATACACCCAAGAGCTCGTGAAGAATAAAGACATTGAAGTAAGATATGTCCGATCATCCGAGAATTCTGCGGATCTCTTCACAAAATCATTACCCACCTCTATGTTCAGGAAACATGTTCATAACATTGGAATGCGTCGTCAACAAGACTTGTAAGTTATGATCCTGATCATTCGAGGGGGAGCTTGCACGGTTGCACTCTTTTTACCTACTATGGTTTTTCCCACCGGGTTTTCCTAGAAAGGTTTTTAACGAGGCAACATAAGATATTACGCAAGAGACATAGTGACACTGGTCTCCAAGGGGGAGTGTTATAAAAGTCGTAAAAAGGAGGAATCGTAAAGTCGCGAAAAGATGCGCACATGGGTAAAACATTTTGTTTATTAATTTGTGTGGAGCCCACCGTCACTATGCACGCATAGTAATTTACTTTTTTACGTCTATATAAACGAACGATCGTTCGTTGTAAAATCACAATTGATTACTTCAATTATAAGAGAAGTAACAAACATCTCTCTCTCGTCTCTTTACTATTTTCAGTATCCCGATCCTTCTGCGGGTATAAATTTTTTCTCCATTATTTATATTTATATACACCATAATATAAAGTAATTATTTATAACATTTCTTAAATTTTCTCATTATTATTTTCTTTTCTTTTTGTCATTACATTAATTCAAGTCAAACAGAACCACAACAAATGGTGTTTGGACTTTGGAATATTCCAAAAGTTGTACTCGTGTAATGACAAAATATATAAAAGGAAAGTTCGTAAACAGTAACAACTAACAATTAAAGAAAAGCAGAAAAAGGTGGCCACGGATCTCTATGATTTACCAATCAATGACCTCAAATCTTTCATTTTACATTTCCTCTGTTTCTCCTCTTTCCTCTCCTCTTCCATCGATTCGTCGCCTCTCTCTCCGTTGTCGCAGCTCTCTTCCTTCTCACGGTAACTCTCTCCTCGTTTCTCTTACATTCTCATTTGTTGTCGGAATCTTGAAAACTTGAATCCATAAACGCCAAAATCTTTAATTCATAGTCAAAGCTAATTGGGGATTAAGTGATTTTTTGTTTGATGAATGAATATTTAGATATGGAGGCTAAACCAAGTCAAGGTCTTTACCCACTTCACCGTTGCAAAACCATACATCTGGTTTGTTTTTTTGTTGTTCTCATTATTCTGATTTGGTTTTTATTTTGTTTCTCAGATTTTGATTGAGTTCTTGTGTTTTAGGTGAGACATGCTCAAGGAGTTCACAATGTTGAAGGAGAGAAGAACAATGAGGCTTACTTATCTGAGGATCTCTTTGATGCACATCTTACACCTCTTGGATGGCAACAAGTAAGTAAATCAGCCATCATCGTTTATCGGTTTTAATCGCTATGATTTTGCATTGATTTATAGTATAATTCTGGTAGATCTAGTGATATAGACTATGAGATATGAATGATCTGTTGTTGCACATAAAGGTTTTTGTGCTGTTTTGAAACAGAGAAGTAATGTGAAATTTTGTTATTGTAGGTTGATAATTTACACAAGCATGTTAAGGCAAGTGGGATTTCCAATAGAATTGAGTTAGTCGTTGTGTCGCCTCTGCTCAGGTAATATACTTAACCCGTAAAGCTTATTGATATGATTATAACGGCATTGTTTAGATTCTTGCTTTAGACTAGTCAGCTAGATTGAACATGCTTATCGTTTTCTGTTCTGCCATTAAGCTCCTTTCAAAGCAGTTGAATATTTGTTTGTTCTAGGACTTTGCAAACTGCGGTCGGAACTTTTGGCGGGGAAGGTTACAAAGATGGCATTAATGCACCTCTGCTTATGACCGCAGGTGCTGGAAACCGCGATCGTCCTGCTATATCAAGCTTAAATTGTCCACCGTTCATTGCGGTAGAATCCTGCCGAGAACATTTGGTATGTTTACTTATCCACCTTTTGCATAATTGGCATTTGCTTAAGAGTAACTTTTTTGAAATGTTCTTGTTTTTGGTTCAGGGTGTTCATCCTTGTGACCGAAGACGTAATATCACCAAGTACCGCGAATTATTCCCTGCAATTGATTTTTCATTGGCAAGTACCTAGTCTATAAAAACTATAAATCTTTTTTTCTATTGCTTCAGATTTTCTAATATATGCAGATTGAGACTGATGAAGATGTCTTGTGGAAGCCTAACATTAGAGAGGAGGACCAAGATATTGCGGCCAGAGGCGTGAAGTTCTTTAACTGGTGAATATATGCAATTCTAACATCTCTATGTGCCTGATGTTTTATGATAGTCTTGTATGATCTTTTTGATTGATATATCAACTAAATTCAGGTTGAGTACAAGGAAAGAAAAGGAGATTGCGGTTGTTACTCATAGTGGGTTCTTGTATCATACATTAAACTCATTTGGAAACGATTGTGATCCATCTGTGAAAAACGAGATTTCTTCAAAGTAAGAGTTCTTCCTCTCTCTCTTTGATGATCATTTGCTATTATTTATGATATAATTATCTCAAATTCTTTTGTATGTTGCAGATTTGCCAACTGTGAACTCCGTTCGGTTGTTCTTGTAGATAAATAGTGAGTTTTGTTGTTTATTCAGAAAACGCTCATATTTGATACATTCAAAAAGTTTTTAAATTCATATTCTCCTCTCTTTCAAAATTGCAGCATGAACAGTTCGGATCCTCCAGTGACCAACTATCCCGGAAAAATACCTGCCGGAGAAGATCTTCCTAGTGATAATCAGAAGTAGTTATAAAGACAGAAATGATGGAATTATGAAAATCTTTTATGAAGTCTCAAAGTTTTTTATTAGTCTTACAATAAAAACTAACAAATTTGATTGCTTTTGATACTGAGAGGAGATTTAAGATGGTTTTTATTCAGTATTTGTCTCAATTTGTTTGTTTTGTTTACCAAATTAGTTGATACCATAATGCAGACTTCAAATTTTATACACTCTGCGGAAAATAATACTTTATCAAAACTAAATTTGAATCATAGAAATGGACTTAGCATTAAACATAAACCTTAGCATCACGACATAAAAGGTTGAAAAATTCAGAGTTGAGATAACAAAAGTCGTCTCCCAAAAACCAAAAATTCGTTAAATCGAACCATCTATACCACATACCAAAATTACCAACAAGAGGAAACCAATATTTTTATGCAGAACCAAACAAAAAAAGAAGAAGTGATATAAATAGAACTAGTGTAAAATCTTTATTGCGTACATGCAAACTATTTGATTAGTTTTATAAGTGGTGTGTGTGACTAATAGTTCAGTTGTGGGATTAATATTTCTTAAATTTTCTCATGATTCAAAATCTAGATATGGAGGCAAAACCAAGTCAAGGTCTTTACCCACTTCAACGTTGCAAAACCATACATCTGGTCGGATCTACCTTGATTAAGAGGAGGGCAGTTGCCACCCCTAATATTTTGAAATCTTTGAAGAGGTTTAAGGAATTAATATAAATGCCCCCTATGAAAACTCTCTCTTGCATGCCCCCCTTAAATTTGTGTTTTCCAATTTGCCAATTTCACGTTACCTAGAAAAAGGCAAATAAATATAACTAATATCTTTTTCTCTTTAATTTAGTTAAATTCGTCACAAATTTAAATCCAAATGTAAATAACAACCTAATCTAAATGCATAGACCATAATATTTATTTCCCTTTGTATCAACTAAAAATTTAATGTTTAAAAATTTTGGTCTCTCCCCATAACTTTGGTGGTTCATAGTTATTGTAATTGGTTTCTCTAAAATATTTTTATGTGTTGTTTTTCAAATATTTGAGCTTTCTATAAAACAATAAATTAAAAACATTAGTACAAATCTAGTAAATTTATATTTTCAATCAAACTAAATACGTTAATAAAAATCTCTAAATTTAGATATTACTCTTTGATTCATTTAAACTCAGATGATTTTTAATAGAAAATTTGTATTCATTTTACCTTTTCTCATATAGTATAATGAATTATATATATTATAAATAACAGAGCACAAATTATCTTCAATATTTTTATTATATTTTATATATATATATATAAATAAATATATATATATATATATATATATATATATATATTTATTTATATATAAAAATATAAATATCGATCGCCCCCTCTAAAAAAATTTCTAGATCCGCCACTGACTGGTTCGTTCGTTTGTTCCCAATATTCTGATTTTTTTTTTGTTTCTCAGATTTTGATTGAGTTCTTGTGTTTTAGGTGAGACATGCTCAAGGGATTCACAATGTTGAAGGAGAGAAGAACCATGAGGCTTACTTATCTGAGGATCTCTTTGATGCACATCTTACACCTCTTGGATGGCAACAAGTAAGTAAATTAGCCATCATTGCATTAACTTATAGTATTATTCTGGTAGATCTAATGATATAGACTATGAGATATGATTGATCTGTTGTTGTTATGTTACACATGAAGAGGTTTTTGTACTATTTTGAAAAAGGTTAATGTGAATTATGTGATTGTAGGTTGATAATTTACACAAGCATGTTAAGGCAAGTGGGATTTCCAATAGAATTGAGTTAGTTGTTGTGTCGCCTCTTCTCAGGTAATATACTTAACCCGTAAAGCTTATTGATATGATCTTAACGGCATTGTTTAGATTCTTGCTTGAGACTAGTTAGCTAGATTGAATATGCTTATCGTTTTCTGTTCTGCCATTACGCTCCTTTGAAAGCAGTTGTATATTTGTTTATTCTAGGACTTTGCAAACTGCGGTCGGAACTTTTGGCGGGCAAGGTTACAAAGATGGAGTTAATGCACCTCTGCTTATGACCGCAGGTGCGGGAAACAGCGAACGTCCTGCTATATCAAGCTTAAGTTGTCCACCGTTCATTGCGGTTGAATCCTGCCGAGAACATTTGGTATGTTTACTTTTCCACCTATTGAATAATTGGCATTTGCTTGAGAGTAAAACTTTTGAAATGTTCTTGTTTTTGGTTCAGGGTGTTCATCCTTGTGACAGAAGAAGAAATATCACCAAGTACCGCGAATTATTCCCTGCAATTGATTTTTCATTGGCAAGTACCTATTCTATAGAAACTATGATCTTTTTTCTATAGCTTTACTTTGGACCGGCTTTGGTGTTTTTTTCTTATGTTTTCACATTTTCTCATATTCTTGTAAACAGATAGAAAGTGACGAAGATGTCTTGTGGAAGCCTAACGTCCGAGAGGAGGACCAAGATATTGCGGCCAGAGGCGTGAAGTTCTTTAACTGGTGAATATAAGCAATTCTAACATCTCTATGTGATCTTGGTATGATCTTTTTGATTGATATATCAACTGAATTCAGGTTGAGTACAAGGAAAGAAAAGGAGATTGCGGTTGTTACTCATAGTGGGTTCTTGTATCATACATTAAACTCATTTGGAAACGATTGTGATCCATCCGTGAAAAACGAGATTTCTTCAAAGTAAGAGTTCTTCCTCTCTCTTTGATGATCATTTGCTATATTATTTATGTTATCATTATCTCAAATTCTTTTGTATGTTGCAGATTTGCCAACTGTGAACTCCGTTCGGTTGTTCTTGTAGATAAATGGTAAGTTTTGTTGTTTATTCAGTAAACGCTCACATTTGATACATTCAAAAAGTTTTTAAATTTGTATTCTTCTCTCTTTCAAAAATGCAGCATGAACAGTTCTGATCCTCCAGTGACCAACTATCCTGGAAAAATACCTGCCGGAGAAGATCTTCCTAGTGGTAATCAGAAGTAGTTATAAAGACAAAAGTGATGAGAATTATGAAAATCTTTTATGAATTCTCAAAGTTTTTTGTTAGTCTTACAATAAAAACTAACAAAGTTGATTGCTTTTGATACTAAGAGGGAGTCTCTAAGATTTTTCTTTTGGGATTTAAGATGGTTTTTATTGAGCATTTGTTCCCATTTCAATTTGTGTGTTTTGTTTACCAAATTAATTGATACCATAATGCAGATTTCAAATATTGTACACTCTGCCAAAAATAATAATTTATCAAAACTAAATTTGAATTATAGAAATGGAGATAGCATTTAACATAAAACCTTAGCATCATGACAAAAAAGGTTGAAATTCAGAGTTGAGATAACAAAAGTCCTCTCCCAAAAACCAAAAATTTGTTAAACCGAGGGCGATTGTTATCATTGATGACGTGTTGGCTTGTAAGAAAAACCTGAGATGCCAACAATATCACTCCCTATCATAGATAGTAGTGGACAAGTACTGAAAAGTAGGTACCCTCATGACTTATAATATAACACATACATAACCCAATCCTTCACCATAAGTATTTTATATAATATGACAAGGTTTTTTCTATTGATTTGCTTAATAATGAGACATTTGGCACCTTATTAGTGTGACATGAGTACCGTTCATTGATTTTTAATTTGACTTTACAAATTAAACTACAAACTAAGAAAATGTTGGACATGTAGAGAATGATGGGCTAAAACACAAATGTTGTAATTGTTGAAGCATGTGCGTCAAAACTTGATATTCTAACAATAACATGATGTAAGTACTGGATTTTGTCTATTTGACATATGGAGGTTCACATATTTGATAAATTGGCTTGATTTATATAAACAAAGATATGTGGCTCTCGATGAAGCCAACAATAATTCATGTGAGGAGAGACTTTCTCCTTGGTTGAACCTTGAAACCATCTCTTATGAAGGGGTGTAGCCTCATGATTGTGCATAATTCGATCGCAAATATCACAAAAAAGTAGTGTTCATAGACAAATTAAATAGCCACATCTTTCGAAGCTACGCACGATTCACACTCCAAATGCAAACATACAATTTTAGCAATTCTTGTCTAATTTTTAGTAACAAAAAAAAAAAAGTAACGACATATATGAAAAAGACAAAAGTAGTGTGTGGTTCTTTAAAGTTATTTTGTTGTTCTACACTAAATTTTAGGGGAATATTTTCATTTAAAGACTTTTATAAAAGCAGAATTAAAAACGAATCACTCGTAAAAATCAGGATTAAAGTTTTGAATATATATATATATATGTATAGTTGTTGTGACTTGTTGCTAGTTTTAGTAGCTGAATCTGGGACAACCAAGCACACATGTTTTGGTCTTTGTCAATGAGATGGTTACTATGGAGAGCTGGACGAATGTGGTAGTGACAAGCGAGGAAAGAGACGGCAGATGCGCTCTGGCTGTGGTATAAATTGTTGTTCCAGTCCAACCCTATGTTTAATTATGTTGCTGCTTTGAATTGTTGTAATAATCTTTTGTGCTGTATTCCAGTCCAGCCATATCTTATAATTATATTGCTTTGCTCTTGTAAGAACATGTTTCTTCAGCATGTTAGTCTATGTTTAATTATGCTTTAATGTGTAATAAAGTTTTATGTTGATGTTTGATAATGTGGGTAACTAAATGAATGTGATGATAATTGAAAGGGTGAGAAAGAAAACCGGTTTAATCAACTCTCGGTTTAGTTTTTCAGTTCAGTTGGAGTGGATTGAGAAAGAATTGTTGGGCGTTTGTTCCCATGTTCGTTCATGGGATTCGTTTATGAGATGGTATATTGATGAGGAGACATCTACTAGCCTTTCTCTGTGAATTATATGGTGAGGGGATTGATTTCAATACGATGTAGTGAGATTGATATTCAATTCTTCTCTTACGAAGAGATGGTCAACTTTGCGTATATAGATGGAACCATATTATTGTATACAACCATATATTTCTATAAATATCTAATATTCTATGTGACATACCATATTTAAATAAAATTTCCAAATACTGATTTTAAATTGGTTTAGAGACAATTTTATCATTATTTAAATTAAAAAATATTTGATTAATTTATAGACATAATAAATAGGCGTGAAGAAAAAGAAAAAAATAGACAGAAAAAAAATTCAAAAGAATTGAATTGTAGATTATGGCCCAAGAATAAAGGATTATGTCTATTTTTTTCTTGGAATAGGTTGGTCAATCATAGAGATCTCAACCAAATGAGCTAGTTGCACATTATTAATAAGTAAAGAAACTATTTAATTTATATATTTTCCTATGTTATTTGGATCAGTTATGTTCAGGTTTGGGCTTTCTGTGGATTATCCGACCTTTATATTCAATTTTCATATATTTTACCACCAGGTTTAATTACTTGCATTTTTTTTGTGGGGTTTAACTTCTTTTTTTGGGTTTTCCTTTGGAGATTAAAAAAAAAAAAAAAACTTTACTCCTGATGAATCACACCTAACGCTACATCTTTTCTTATTGTAGATTTGGTAGTCTTTCGCAGCAAACATTCTTCCAATCACTCCTTTCAAAACATATTGAAATATTTTGGTTTCAATTAATTTTTTTTTTAATTATGGTCAAAATGTTTTAAGATGGTAGTGTGAATTATTCATTCATTAGAATAACAACTATAGTGTATACAGAAACTGTTAGGGAAATTCAAATGATATGAGTGATAGTGTAGGACTAGCAAATATCTATGATTTTTCTTTTGTTAAAGAATCAAACCATGTGAAAAAAAAAAAAAAAAAAAAAAAAAAGAATCAAACCATATGAGTAATAATGTAGGATTGGAAACTCCAGTCGTGTCTCGTAGTTGTTATGAAATCGAGATCTCATTAATGGTTTTTCTAAGCTACTTTGAGACGTGCGCAACACGAAGTTGTCTACAACTCTACATTGACTATAATGCAGAAAACAATAACTTTGTGAGAACGTGCTAATTAATTAGCGAATACGTACGTGTCACGATCTGATAAGATGTGTATTACTCATATATAAGTAATAACTAATATACGTGTATCTCGTGACACATTATGTCTATATATAGGCATGACCAAAAGCTAACCGTAACCGTATTTCGGACCGTAACCGGACCGTTTCTCAACCGTAACCGGACCGTAACCGTATAAAACGGTTAAAAACCGTAACCGTTAACCGTAAAAATAGATTAGTTACGGTTAAAAAATATACTAACCGTAACCGTTAATTAACCGTAAACGTATCAAAACCGTTAGTTAACCGTACGGTTAACCGCACGGTTAACCGTATAATTAACCGTGCAATAAAAATCTTAAATACATTATTATTCCACTACTAAATTTAATCCACTCCACTACTCATTTTTCATAAATCAAATCATAAATAGTTTACATAGTTATTATTTATACTCATGTACTCGTTTCTTAATTCCCACAACTTTCTTTTTATAGTATTGTTTGGAATAGCATAACAAAACAATAACTCAATCATTATAATTATGACCATTTATTTAGTTATTGGTTGGTTTACTTAACTAAACAAAATAGCTAATTAACTATAAATATTATAAGCATATAATCACATATATTACATACTATAAAATAATTATTATTTGATATATCGTCATTACATTTTTTATTCTTAAGGTTAAAAAAAATCCAAGCTTTTGTTTTTGAAATTAACCGTATCGTAATAATTAAATAATCATAACCGTATTTAACCGTAACCGTTGTAACCGTAACCGTATTTAACCGTAACCGTTTTAACCGTGTATATAGTGGTTAAGGTTACGGTTAGAGAAAATTTATAACCGTAACCGGTGGTTAATAAACCGTAACCGCAATAACCGTAACCGTGGTCATGCCTATATATATAAGTACACAAAACAAGTCATTGTTACAAACACACAAAACATAGAAAAAGAAAAATGTTTTCAGAGGAAAAGAAAAGTAAAAATTATGGTTCAATCTTTGTGTACTGCTTCTTTTGTTTCGTACTCATTGTAGAAGTTGCAAGATTCGCAAAACCTTATTACAACCTTCAAAACATAATGGAGACAGAAGCAGTAGTAGAAGAAGGTTTCTTGGCGGTGGAAGACTCAGGTAAACTTCCATGTCGCTTGTTAAGTCGTCCCTCTGTCTCTGTTCCTAGCCAGGATCAACAGAAGCTCTCGCAAGCAGTAACGCAAGAAACGAGAACTCGTCCTCCAAATTCATACTGCGTGAAGTTCCAGTCTTTTATTACTATGGCAAAACAGGTCAAAGAAAATGGTGGCAAGTATGAGTCACGTCCATTCTCCGTCGGTGGATACAACTGGTACGCACCGATTGGTTTCCAATTCAAAATCAATTGAAATGTGTCGAGAAGACGATATATACCTTATTTATATTATTGTTGAATTTCAATATGAGATATTTCAAAGTATTATTATATATAGATTTTTTTTTGGTATATGTTTTAACCATAACCAAGATTCTAATGTGTATAATAAATGTTTTTAACTATATATAATTTCTGCTTAAATTGTTATTAGGACGTTCATTATCTACCCGAACTCAGACATTCCATCCGGCTCGGGTGGATACATTTCGCTTTACTTAAGAATCGATAACTCAAGCCTCATCACCAATCCAAAAGATGTGTACGCAGATATCACATTCCTCGCTTATAAAGGCAGTACAGACAAGTACCAATCATACCAAGGTACTAACTAACTATCTAGAGAGAGGGATATATCTATTTGTGGTTTCTTTGGACTAATTGAGTTTGATTGGTTTGCAGAGACTGATGCGCAGCGATTTCATTTGTTTAGACAACAGTGGGGACAAATAACCTTTCTTCCGATAGCATATTTTGAAAATCCGGGATATGGATACTCTTTCGATGGCGGAAGCGTTGTGTTTGGCGTTGACATCAACATTGTTAAACCCTTTGAAAATTGGGAAGTTTTCTCTAACGAACAAAACATTCGTGACCCTATTTTCGAATGGAGACTCACCAAATTCTCCACACTCTTTCAAGACTCTTACACTTCTGGTTCCTTTTCTTCCGGAGGAAGAAACTGGTACGTAACGCTCTTCCTCTTGTATATATATAACAACACAAGATGTTTTAGTTTAATTATGTGATGGTTGTGTACTGTGAAGGGCATTGAAATTGTATCCAAATGGAGTTGGAAATGCAACGGGTAATTCATTGTCACTCTATTTGTTGAGTGAGTCAAATGATAAGGGTTATGTGGAAGCCAAGTTACGAGTTATTGACCAGATCCAATCCAACCATTTTGACAAAAAAGGTTTGATATCTCCTTTCTAATTAATTAATGAGCCTTTTTTAAAACAAAATTTAACTTTTGATTTGCTCCTATATATATACAGTGGCGGCATGGCCCAATGCAACAGAGAATGGATGGGGTTTCGACAGGTTTCTACCTTTTGCAGATATCAGAAACACATCCAAAGGTTACCTTGTCAACGATACCCTCAAACTTGAAGTCCAGATCTTTTCCTTCTCGAAAACCGACTTCTTCTCTCACCAATCATCTGTTTTTTTTCCTATTTCGTATGGAGATAGTATTTAGGTGACTAATCTTCGCTATGTGATTCCACAACTGGTCACTACCAGTCTGGTTCTTTGTTTTTGTTTTTGTTCAATAATAAATGAGTTCGTGCTTTTTTCTTTTTTGAATTTAATGTTAAATTATATTCAAGAAAAAATAAACTTGTTTACACTTCAGTGCATACTGTTTTTAAAAACATAATGGTGAAAACGAAGAGATTGAGATTTTATCCTTGTTGCTTTGATTCAAACCAAACTTGTATGCCTCCTTATTATGTCAAACTTGATCAATCTGATTTAAAGATTGGGTTATACGATCACGGATTTTAATAGAATATGAATCAAACAAAATACAGTAAAATTTATTGTACAACAACACCGGTGGGACAACATGCAATAAATTGATTAAGTTACAACAACCACAAGGAAATTTTTTACCGTACAAGCTTTTAATGAACTCGAGAGATGATATAAAAACACACAAACACATGCATGAATTGATTACAAAAACATGTAAATGGTACTTAAAAGATTATATCATTTGATGATTTGTCACCCAAACAATTTCTAGAAATTCTAGACCTTGATTTTCGGATATAAACTTGGAGCCAACCTAGGTTTCGCGCATGCGAGTAGAGGCTTGGCCATAAACAAGTTGCTCTCCGCCGAAATGAGTTCGATTTGAGTTTTACCATTAGGGAGAGTCCATTCGAACCCTTGGAGAAGCCTGGCTAACAACATGATGGTCATAGATGTCCCAATCTTAGTGCCCGGGCAGCTACGCCGACCGGTGCCGAATGTAACGAACCGCATCTCCGGTTCTATCAGAGTCACGCCCAATGAGTTCTCGACATGGCCATCGAGGTGTCTTTCTGGCTTGAACGCGTTAGGCTCGTCCCATATTTTAGGATTCCGACCAAGCCCCACACGGCTCACAAGAATTTGACTACCTATCATTGCAATAATATAATACAAATTTGTATAATGTTAGACTATACCATGTTGGAATAAATAACAAATGATTGACTTTTTACCTTTGGGAACAAAATAACCCGCGAGGGTAGTATCTTCTCGGGCTACATGATGAGGCATGAACACATTAGCTGGGTGAAGACGAAAAGATTCTTTGCTACAAGCTTTGATGTAGTTGAGTTTTGGTATGTCTGATTCTTGCACAAGTCTGTCTTTCCCAACTATCATGTCCAATTCATTTGTGGCTTTCTCAAGAATTTCTGGATGGTTCAGAATCTCCGCTATCGTCCACTCCACGTTATTCATCAGATTGTCAATTGTTGCTAAATTGATTTCCTACATGTAGGATAGTATATAAGTATATAACTATAAGAGATTAATAAAACCATGTTCAAACCTCAAATTTGAAGTTAGAAAGAACCCCGAGTAATATGTAAGGGATATTGCCGCTTAGTTTTGAGTTGGAAGTCCACAAACCCTCATCACAAAGCGTACGTGTAACAATTCTATGTTTGAACATCACTAACCTTGCATTGAGCCCTAATCTCATCAAATGTGTACAGATGCATTCCTTGATCATCTTTTGACGTGATGAGGATATCGAGCCAGTCTTCTTCCATAGCTTTTCCGCCTTTCTTCCTCCACAAATGTATTCTTTCTTGGATGATCGGGTCGTTACATCTGTTGATTATATGAACCGCTTCTCTTACCTCCTTCTCCTCTTTATCTACGTTCCATCCTCTAAGAAAAGGGATGTAATTTGTTAAGTTGAAGCTGAAAAAACAATCAAGAGCTAGGTATATTGCGTCCATATGCTCTTTCTCTTTTGGCCCGAGACCGCCATTCTCTACCGCTTCATCAAAATGCCTCTGGCCAAACATCATCATCATCATCACGGCGTGGGAATAAGTTAAGATCGTATCCCTCACGTTAATCGGCTTCGTCACTAGTCGGCATAGATTGTAGACATATGTGACAATATTATCCGCTTCTATGTTTCTATAACCGAGGGTTTTCCTCAATGTTGTCGGGGACATAAGCTTGGTGGTCATCAATTTCTTCATCAGCTTCCAGTTCTCTCCGTAGGAAGTGAAAGTAATGCCCTTATAGCCATTGCTAATGAGATGGCTGGCGTAAGACTCTGACCTGTCTGCGAGAACCTCGTCTTTTTCCCTAAGCACTTCACGGGCAATCTCGCTTGAGGTTACGGTGATGACGTGAAAACTGGCAAAGCGGAAGCAAGCTATCTCCGTTTGCAGTTCTTCCATGACACGGTGGATCCACAAGTGAGCCGGCCGGTTCATGATCATTTGGAGGATGTTTCCAATGATTGGCCATCCCCATGGGCCGGGAGGAAGCTGACCTCTTGGTTTCTTGGATCTTAAGAAACGTCTAGCGAGAGCCAAGACCAGCGTAATGGAAATTAAAACAAGTGTGAAACTAGATGGATTCGTGAGAATACTCATGGTTATGGTCAAAAAAATTTTTTGGGAGTTGAAAAGAGGTCTCACTTTTAAGCTAATAGTGGAGAAATCTTACTACAAAATGAGTAGTAAGAACGTTCCCCTAGCTATCTATTTATACATTTTCAAGTTTCGTATAAAATATTGTACGTTGGTCGAGGAAAAGAAAACCATTCTATATTAATCAATTAGGGACCCTAATAAAAAGATTGACCTAGGTAGCTAGTAGCAGCAACTTACATATATAATTGGGTTACGGTCATTTTGTAAGATGGATATATTGTCCTATTATGCGGTCAAGTGTCAATCTATGCTAGAGTTCGGTTTTGGTGAACTCGATGAACTCGGGCAGAATAATATTGGAACAAATCGATTTTAGTAAAGTTTTCTTACTCAATCAGTACTTATTAAAACCCCATCAAATAGGAAAAATGAAAATTTTAATACCTTATTCTCTCTAGTCACTTGTGTAGAGTTCTCTCTATCAAAATACATATTCCTTTTTAGTAAACATAACATGACATTCAAAAATAATATTTTTGAGATACCAAACCAAAAGAAAGTTCCCAAAATATACCGTTTAGTATATTTTATGGGATATTATTCTTCATTAAAGATAAACCTTGTCTTTTCGACGAAAAAAAACAGAGATAAACCTTGTCTTAATCTCTCTACATAAAATCATAGCATCAATCTTAATTATAGTTTTAAATATCGAATTGGTGCCCTAGAGGGCTTTTATCCATTTGTATAAATATTTTTGTTTTGCTTTCTTTCAGAAATGTGCGTGAAAGGGATTTATTTCGTTCTATGATTCGATTGCACCATTGCTTTAATGTCTTTGGTTTGTAATTTTGTATATTGTAAATCACCTACCCCTTTTTTTAGCTTGCTTGAATTCTTAATTTTTCATACGGCAAAATTTTATTCCAAGAGTTTTCATCGATTTTAGCCGTGAGAAGTCAGAATAATCTTATGTACGCGACGACGATTAATTTACTTCATAATAGCCTAATAAATACACTTATGTAAATGACGGATGCATATGTTTCTTGATATACAGACTCATTTGCTTGATGTCAAATTGCAAATTTAATTTAGAATTTTAGTCAGGGACATATTAAAATGTTTTAGTCAATATAAAAATAAAAAAACAACAGTTACTGTAAAACAAATTATGATTAATGAAAAGATAAAACAACAGTTAATCAATGGAAGAAAAATTATGGAGTGCATGCATTATTATTGATCATAGTATCATAGATATATATTAATATATATCAACCATATAAATCATATGTTTTGTTAAAGTCGCATTAATATTGGTGGCCAATGAAAACAAGTGATTTGTATTATAGGATTAATGAAAAGATATGGACGTCTTGCAATATTCAGTTTTAAAAGCTGACTAGATGGGAAGTCATTTTAAATGCTTCTTTGTTAGATTTTCACGTATCATCAGTTTTCTCAGCAAATACTATGATTTTTTTTTTTTTGATAAACCCTATCGGCTGATCCGGTCAGCCCCGGTAGAAATGCACCGAGGTGCAAATACTATGATTTTCTAAGGGAACCATCACTTTTGTTCTATAATGGATAAGATTTTGAACATCTTTTTTTTTTTTTTTAATTAAAGACATGTTCTAAAAATTGGAGTAATGTAGTTTATGGAGTATTTATGTTCTTTTTTCTTGCATCCTTTTACATTCTTCTAGTATATTACAATTTTGTTACCGAAGAAAAAGACTTAGTTTTTTGAAACAGAAAACAGAAAATAGAAAACGGAAAAAAAAAAAAAGACTTAGTTGACTACAAATTTTATGGGATATCTTCGCCTTCTTGGTGTCTTCTTACTTTCTTAGTAGTTTACGGTTTTGTCGGTTTGTTTGGTATCTTCTTACTAATGCAAATTCTCTATTGTTTATTTATAGAATAATATGGCTTATGGCTAATATATAATTTGACTATGGAGTTTACTTTTATAAACTATAAACTCGTAGTTTTAACCCAAAAAAAAAAAAAAACTATAAACTCGTAGCAGTGTTTGATGTTTCTCATGATTAGTCAATTATAGTGAATTCATAGATACGTCATACGCGCTTGCTAATAATATATACATTCATGTATCTGCATGTTGATACATACGATCTTGAGTAATTAGGTACATGAAAAACATTTTAGAGATTAATTAATCACATGTTAGGAGATCATGACTTTTCGTAACATGTTATTTTTCCATAACATATAATTTATTTTTTATGTGTATGTTTAATTTATTAAATCAAATTGATTTTAGAATTTAAGATTTTAATTAGACTTATATTTATAGTTTAGCTACGTTCAGACGCTATGAAATATATCAGAGATCTACGTAAAAAAGTTAGCTATGTTCGGACGCTATGCAATAAATTAGAAATTTACCTGAAAAAGTTTAGCATGATACAAAATAAAACGAGTTAAAATATATCTTGACACTATTTGAGAGCAACATGTCATATCTTCTCATTTACCTATTTTCACTTAAAGTTATTACCATTTGGCAAATTTACTTTATTATAATTATTAGAATAAAAATCTGTGTCATACACGGGTAAATCTTCTGCTATTTAATTATATTTATGATGTTATTTATAGTAAACTAGATATGGATCCGTGCGGGTTACCGATCAAAATTGTTTTTTTTTTTAATTTTTATTTTTTAAGCTTAACTAAAATTATATAAAAATATGTTTTAATTTTAGAAAATATATTATTTTAATTATTTTTAGAATATAGATTAATTATGCATAATGTACAATATAAAATACTATTTGTAGTTTTATTTATTATTTGTGACAGTATGATATTTAATAAATGTTCATATGTGTATTATTGAATTTTAATAAATTATCTACATCCATCGGAGCAGTGTATAACACTTTCTAATTTCAATGTGGGCAAGATGGAAACAAAATTGTGACAATATGAGACAGTCTATAACCACATCATTTAACTTTACTTGATAATATGAGAAATCTTCAAAACAAAAAAATAAATTCATAAGAAATTAAGGAATATGCACTAAATAAACTAAGTAAATAATACTAACTAAACAATGTCTATTTGCTATATGGCTTTTCTAAATTTTTGGCCCATATTACTCATGAGTTTTTAGTTGTCTATTTTTTCTTTCTTCTCGCCGGCAAGAAGTCTCATCTCTCTTTTTTCTTTCATTAGATTTCTCTTATTTTTGCTCGATCTCCTCTTTCTTTTTCTTTCTCTCCCTCTCGTTGGATTTCTTCACCACCATATTTTTTTCTTTTTCCATATCACTATTTCTCACCTTCGTCGGGCATCACCACCGAATCTCACTACTCCGACCCACCAGGCCACCACCACAACTGAATCTCACAACTATCACAATCATCATCACCATCAATACTAAATCTCGCTAATTCCGACCCACCACCTTCATCAATATTTACCGCCACCAACACCAAGCTTGAACCACCATCATCAACACAAACACCACAGTTACCGCATCATCCCCTCTTTCCCCAACTGCTCTTATTTCTCCACCTTCTTTATCTCCTCCGACATCAGGTCGAGCTTCTTCGACAACAACTCTATTTTATGTCCATCGCAGTTCATAATTCTTAATTTGTCTCCATCTCCAAATATTCTTAATTTGGCTATCTATCTATTTGTTTATCTATAGGAGTGAGGATTTAGAATCCTTTTTCATCTAATATTAATAATTGATTATAATCTTTTTTAATTATCATATTATACAATAAGATTGTATAATTTCATAAATCTTTTTTTAATTTTAAGGAAATAGTAATATTTTTCTTTTAGAATTAGTAGATTTAAATTAGATACATATAGTTTCCTTATAAGTATCTTCTTTACTTATTAAATATTGTTTTTTATAAGATAGACATGTATAGTTGCCTTATAATTTTTTTCTTAAATTTCTATTTTTATTTCATAAGATACATCTAGTTTTTTTTTTATATTTATCTTCTTTAGATTTTTAAAATTATTTTATATAAGATATATACGTATAATTTCCTTATAAATTTTTTTCTAAACAAATATTTTTTTTAGTTTTACACGTTGATAAATTTGACATATGCATATAGTTTTCTTATGTTTTTTTAAATAAACTAGGACGAAACCCGCGCTATGCCGCGGGATATTTTCTGTATATTATTTTTGTTACTAATAATTTTTGCTTAAATCAAGATTATACAGTACCAGATCCCAATAAAATTTATATTTTTGGTTTACACAATGAAAGTTGTCTTGCTTTTTTTGTAACACAAACAAAAGAATATCCAAACTTGAATTATAAAAAAAACATATATGAAGTTAAAAATAAGAAGAAGATATAAATTAATTATATTTTATTAGACATTATTTGCAAATGTAAAAAAAAAAAAAAAAAAATCATTTTTGATAAAGAGATAAATCACAGTATTTGTTTCAAACCCTTAACCTCCTTTCAATACCTCCAAGGCTTCTCTAATTCTCTTTCTCAATTCAACTTCTCCTAACAAAAAACTCCGTTTAATTTTCTCACGTCAGTATTCTCCTCTCTTACTTTCAAAGTCGTGTGATTTACGAATCTACTTCACTGTGAATTTTTAATTCAGATATTTCCATGTGTTTAATCTTGATTTTTTTCGGAATCAATGAATGTAAATCCCATAATTTACTTCAATTTAAGGGGTTTTATCGACCCATTACCTTAAAAGAGTCTTGAGTCAAGCCATTATTCTCTAAATTTTGCTTAAATTTGGTGCAGATTGATTTGTTGTTCCGTGTTATTGTTGATCTTTCCTACGCAATCATCTCTTGTCAGATCTTGGTGTAAGTAACATCTCCATTGTTGTCTCATCTTTGACTCTGTTAGACGAATGAGAAATTTCCTTCATAACAGTAAATCAGTAATATGATATATGGATAAAGCATGATATGGCACAAAAAAGCTATGTCTTCGTGAGGCGAAAGAGAAACCATGACAGTTCTAAATTTTAGTTCTTATCTTTTATTTTCTAAATTAATTATGTGTTCTATCATAAACAATATCAGCTTGCTGA